AGATAGATAGATAGATAGATAGATAGATAGATAGATAGATAGATAGAGTGAGAGAGAGAGGAGCGCCAGAAAATATTGAATATGGAAATGTCTAGTATTTTCCATATAATTTGTATATTATGACCTTATATTTGACTTCATATGACTCCATTGTGTTGTTCACAGTTATTTGCAGCTACATACGTTTGATTCTATTTCTCATCTGATGACCTGCCAAAGATCCAGCAGAGGGAGACAACAATCTAGTGACTTTTTAAGACATAAATCCAAAGTTGCAAGTCCCACCTATGATGAGAGCTTTGTTATTTGATGCCACTCATGCATTTGCTGTCGATAATTGTGCCACAACAATGATGATAGTTTACCTTTCTGAGGAAAATATGGGATATGGGCTCTTAGGAATTTATATATATATATATATATATGTATACAGAGAGAGAGAGAGAGAGTGAGAGAGAGAAAAAAGACTAAATAATCACATTTAATCCTCTCTCAAACTTTAACATCAGAACTATACTGACAGGAAAACAGAACTGTCTGTTTTTCCAATGTACCATCAGTTGTAAAATCATGTAACCTAAGCAACATGGCCATAATACATGGTACAAACAACATTCAAACAACAACAAGACAATCTACATTCCAATGATTTAAACATCTGACTTTCAGTCTTAAAACACATGATTCACACATGCCCAAAACCATGCGTCCACCCTGGAGGACTGTGTGAAGATAATAAGAAATGTGCGTGGTAGGAGGTGTCTTGTTGCTATGCCAACACCAAGCATATTCTCTATGGACCAGCCTGCAGTTGCCTTGGAGACCAACCACAGTAGCAGTGAAATGTACAAAAAAAAATGTTGTTTCTTTCAGCAGATGTCATGTGATAACTGTACTGTCGATATAGCATGATATAACATTTGAATAAAAACAGACATCTGAATCTGTTACAAGAAAAGTTAACCCATTCATTTATTGTCTATACCATTGAATCCCAGAATGATCACGGGGGACTTGAGCTAATCAACAAGGATGTAGCCACTAAAGAGTGATCATTTTTGGTTGGGGTTGTAGCCAACTGCTCTTATTGTTATCAGGAATCTTTTATTAAAACTTTGAGAAAATTATTGCCGGGTGCTTGCTAAATTATGTTTTTTCTGAATTATGTTTTGCTCATTTTCTAAAATGATCTAACAAAACGTATAACACTTAGAAATTGGAAAGAATTTATGGATTTAAGTATTACGACATCCTCAGTCCTGTTAAGTTCCAAAGGATCATTTGTTGAAGTGAATGTGCCCTGCCATGAAGGTGGCAGGGATACTCTAAAATATTTTTTTCCCTGACCATGAATGCTTAAGGAATTCAAATGACTGGCTAAATATATCTCGAGCTAAAACATGGAATGAGGAGTGGGGTAAAATCTCTAATGATTATCTTTTTCTGACAGATATTGTTGCTTCAATCCAAGCGGACAATTCTCCCCCCAAAAAAGTCCCATTTACAATCCCTGAAGAAATATTTATAAGAATCGAATTTCCCCTATGGAAAGTAAAATGTTGGGAGAAATGACCAATGAGATCTCATTGCAGTAGTTGTTTTTTTGCCTGTACCTTTGGTTTCTCTCAATTCTGAAAGTGTCCACAAATAACAGCTAGGTGGGGTTGGTTTTTAACTGACTTATACCCGCCTCAGTTTTTTTCCACTTCTCTTTCTCATCTATGAAGAATAATGAGTTGAAAACCTATGGTTATGGTGGGAAAAATCATTAGTCTAAGGTTATGCATTTTGCAACCACGTGTTGTGATTCCACTCATGTCATGTGGACACTTCCCACGCAAAACAGCAGGCTATGAATAATTCTGCCAAACAAATGACTTCATAAAGTGTGACAAAGATGGAGGCAAATGTGACCATTACACGTTCTCTGGTTGGAATTTTTGTTTTTGTTTTGCAGGATAATAGCATTTGAGAAATGTATCAATAACTTTTTTTTTACTGCACATTTTGATCAAAACTCAATCTTATAGAAGCTTTTTCCGAAGCACATGTTTCCTTGCTAGTTCATCTCTGGGAGAGATTAATACGTTAAAAATTGAATAATCATCAATCATAGATAGATGGAAAAAAACCTTATCATGCTGCCCCAGAATCAACTGTACAAATAACACATCAGGGTTTGTTTCTCAGCTCCTTTAGTTCTCTTTTGCTTCTCTATAATAATAGGGGAATGCATACAGTATAATGTACACAAATCTTTTTTGTTGCCCCCCACTTTTTCTAAAGGTAGAGTTACAGAGTTACAGGTAGAGTTACAGATTACAATCAGTAGGCATTAGAACTAGAAACAGTTAAAAAATCACAATAGATAATTGAATATCTGGATCAGTTATAAAACAATATAAAATTAATGAACATCAAAATGGCGTCGGGGTGCATTTCACTCACCAAGAATAGCAACAATGAACCGCGAACCAATCAGAAGGGAGACATTTTGTTTAGAAGTAAGGGGAAAAAGTATAAACATGTGTAGTGTGAACCGCTGAACTTCTGTAAATGCATTATGGGGGCTGTGGCTGGAGGTGGGATATTTGCTCCATCACATCCATTCGTTGTGTGGCTGAGCTGGAGAGAGAGCAGCACACGTGCAGCCACATCAACAGTGGGTTTTGCTGCCCCCTTGTCTGTGTGGGTGTGTGCGATATTGTGTGTGGGAGGAAGTAGGTAGGTGGGAGAGTAGGTCTAACTGGCTTAAAGGCAGGTAATGCCACAAACTGTTGATTTAAAATCAGTCACTCGGCTGTTGAAGGTAGGTTTATTACTTTTGGTGCGGCACTTGCTTTCACTTCCTTGCGTAGCACTTAGTTTCAGCCTTGAGTCTTGCCATCTGTGCACTGGGCCTAGTCAGTTTTTCACTCCTGTTGTTCTCTTTGTGCAAATTTATGTTTTCATCTTGTCCTCCGGAAGTCTTTGTTTGACAGCCACACACCCACCCAACCCCTCTCCTTCCTTTGCTCTCCTCCTCTCTGCCTAACCACTTTCAGTGTGCATCTTCGCTCTCTCATTTGCATTTCTTCCGCTTCCTCGTGACAAGAAACAGTTCACGTCTAAGAGCCGTGAGAGAAAAATCAGACTGGAAAGAAACACACAGCGTGGATGGCTGGATATCTTGACATGAGCAGGTACACAAAGGATGGAGCTGTCCGATGTAGACGGCTTTTAATCCTTTACGATTCTTCCTGATCTGACTGTGGAAAGAAACGGTGAGTGACTTGTGCTTGACTGATTGTTTTTTTTAAACTGTTGCATCTGAGTTCTAGCCGTGTGAGGTACGGCATGTCCTGAATTTTTCTTTGTACTTTGATATCCACCATTATGTGACGGCAATAAAGCTGCGAAAATTCTTGTTTATTTGTTGAAGTTCTATTTCCATGAAGTCGGAGTTTGACATAGGATTAAGAAAGTAGATATGAACAGGGAATTAACATTTTCACTGTCACTAGAAATGACAAAACTTAAAGGATCTTCTACTCCTTTTTACATTTCAGTACTAATAATATTTGGTGATGATTGTTCAAACTGGCAGTAGAAACTGTTGTTTTGTACTGTGTAACCAACTTATTTTTAATCTTATTCCACCCATAACACATATTTTTTTAGATGATTAAAAGTACTAGTTTCAAAAACATCTGGACATTTACATTTCTGCCTAATTGCAGTATGTGTAAATATAACACTGAAATGTGATCAGGAAGAAAGAAACTCAAGCTGTACAACCACAAAAAAAGTGTTTTGAGCCATCTGTACCTATGTAGCTCTTTGGACAAAAATCTTCAAAAGCATGAAGTGTGACAGCAGAAAGAAATATCCAATTTTCTGTCATTTATGTGCAATTTGTAGTTTCTTGTGGCTTTATACTTTGATAAGATTGCTGCTCTCATGGAAGCCTGTGAGTAAACAAAGCCACCACATGTTTCTGGGAGCATGGGGGGTATGCTACATGATTGGTGCAGACAGGTTAGAGAGACGACAGCTCATTTGAGCCGATGCATTTGATTTGGGCTGATAAAAGCTGCTAATGCACATTAAAAGGGTGTGACCTTTCATCTCTGGCTTCATGGATGTCTTTCAGCTACATCAGCTACATCAGCTCTTGTTTCTGGCTGCTAAATGTTTGTGTTTTCTGCTGTTTTCCTCCTGATTCTTCCACTGCCTGCACACACATGAATCCTGCTCCAGCTGCATTTGAATCATGCTGCAGAGGTTCAGAAGCCTCAACTTTCCCAATAATGACATCATTCAGATGTCGATGTATTTTTATTTTGGTTCTTTGATTTTCTCATTTGGTAAAATAGCTGGGTCTAAGTCAGCGCGAGCTTAAAAGTCACCTACCCCTGATTATAATGCATATCTGTCTTCATTAACTGCTTAATTTTTTTTCCCCTCACATCCCCTTTCCGACAGAATAATCTGTCCCATCTGCTCTGGGGCAAGGCGGAAGTCTAATACAAACTGTTCTTATCTTACAGGTAATTAGAAACCTGGCATTGGTGCATCACGACGGCAGCAGTGTTACCATGGAGACTGGCAAGTCGGGATTGGAGAGTGTTCCAGTGCACGTCGGTTCCGTTGCAGCACAGGCGGGGAAAAGGCTGGACGTCCAGACCCCTCTGACGGCCGTTTACATCCACACGCTGCCCGCCTACCCGCAGCCTGCTGCCGCCATCTACCCCAAGGAGCCGCTTCCCGTTCTGACCCTGCACATCGCCGGAGGGCTACAGTCTCCGCCAGGCCTGGGTCTGGCCGCCGCCGCCCCCCCAGCCAAGCCCAAATCGGCGGGGAAGCACGTGTGTCCTCACTGCGGGCGGGACTGCATGAAGCCCAGCGTGCTGGAGAAACATCTCCGCTGCCACACGGGGGAGCGGCCATACCCCTGTACCACCTGTGGAGTTTCTTTCAAAACTCAGAGTAATCTGTACAAACACAGACGCACACAGGCGCACGCCCGGCTCTCTTCCGAGTCTGAGCACAGTAGCGTGGACAGCATGTCCAGCTCGAGGGAGACGTGTTCCTCCAGTTTGTCTCTGGATGAGTTGCGCAGTGATGAGTTGGGGAGTATTGAGAAGAATGCCACGCAGAGCACCACTTCGGCTAGTACCAAAAAGACCCTCGCTGTGCAGACACAAAGTTCTGTCAATGAGCTGAAAGAGCGGAGTTCCTTATTTCTCAAAACAGAAACTATTAGCAGTGGAAAGGTATCAATGGAAGAGGACAAACAGATGATGGAAAATGCTAGGCCACCTCTGACTGTTAGCCGACATCTTCCACTTCAGAGACAAGAAGCTTTGCTTTTCTCCAAGCAGTGGGAGAGCTCTGTATCCAGAGGGAAATCCCAGAATCACGAGAGCACAGACTCTGGCTTCAGTGAGAGTAGTGATCACTATCCGAGTCCCAGCAATGCTTTACCTGAACACAGCATGGAATTCCTCACTGAATCTAACCAGGAGAATCCTGAAGCATCTCCGAGCACACGTGAACCTTCAGAAAAAAGCAACAGTGGAAAGGAACCGAGACACGCCGTGAGAGAGCAGGAGCAGAAGCTTCTGGAGGAAAGGATATCGAAGTTGATCTCAGAGAACACGGCTGTTGTTGAGGACAAACAGCTAGAGAACGTTAGACCACGGAAAACAGTTTTGTCAAAGCAGGGCAGCATTGACCTTCCCATGCCATACACCTACAAAGACTCCTTTCACTTTGATATGAGGAATAACCCAACTCAGAGTATGGCCTCGCAAAGATACAAATCGGGGTTGTACAGTTCGGTGCCCACCCAGTGCTCCTCCACCGTGGAGCACGCCCCCCTGACCCGCAGCAGCTCCCTGCCCTTCAGCGTTAGCCTCCTGCAGCCGGACAGAAGCAGCTCAGCCTCCTCCAATCAGAGCGATTATGTAACCCTCGTCCGGAGGGGAAGTTCTGGCCAGGTCAACCCCTCCAGTTTTGCACTGAGGCCCGTTAGCCAGCATTCTTCCACACACCGCCCACTGGTCCGGCAGTCTGCTGTAGACTGCAACCACGCAACAGACGGTCTTTTCACAAATCCGTCCGTGGAGGAGGCGAGCCGCGGCAGTCTCAGCTGCGACGGAGACGGGGGTGACATTTGCCAAGAGCCAAACACCAGAAGGGTCCGTCGAAAGAAATCACAGAATGTTTCTTACAAGTGGTACATGTACAGAGGGGGGACGTTTAAACGGTTCTACAATGAGAAAAACGGGGAAAGGAACACAGTCCAGGGCAGGAAATGTTCAATTCATTCAGAGGTTGCTCAGGGTCTACAAAAAGCTACGTCGGTGGTTCACAAGGAGACGCTAACAACAACGGGCTCAACAATAAACAACACAAAGAGCAGTGGAATGGTTGGCCGCCATTCTGCCAGTTTCCCCTCCAACTATTCTGTGGATTTGAATCTTCAAAGCAGTCACCTTGACAGCTCTATCAAAGCTCCACCCAGGAGAAATTTATCACTGTCATTATTACCACTGCAATCAACGGTTAGCTGCAAACCAGAGGGTGTTAACACAACAGAGGCTGGGAGACTGATTCATTTCGAAAAACAATGTGACTGCACATCATATCTCTGTGGAGGCCACATGCCCTCTGACAGGAAGAAGCAGAAAACTGATAACAAAGTGATCCCCCACATGGAGATGCCGACTGACCTAAACACAGTGACTCACCCCCCTCTCTCTGTCACTGGTACTTTGCCTCAACTGGACACAAATCTCACTTTCGTCAAGCTTCAACACAATCCTGAACACACTGAGCTACGGGGAGCTCTCTTTTTGCCGAGCCAACTCGATGCAAATGAGCTCTCAGCTAGCAGTTCACAAACCACTTCCACCCCCTCTGCTGCCAAGAACAGCTTCCTGCCCAAATACCAGCTGAAGTTACCCAATGCCCCTGAACCGGACT